CATTATTTATGGTTTGAAATATGGTTTTATGTAAAATAATTGATATGAAAAAGCCGTCTTATAAGTTATGACCCCATTTCACCACACGCAAGTGGCAGAAATGACAATGATCAGCTGACGCATTTTTCTTGGCCGAAGTCAGAGCGCGCGGCCCGACGCACCACGCGTATTTGGAAATTCCGACCTCGACGAGCATCAGAAGCCACCTAACAGGCGTGTTCGAAACCGCAGGAGATGATGATGAACGGGTTTATCGAAACTTGATTGGATGAGCATATCGGTAATAGCGATTTCAGTGTGTGCATTTATTGTTCATAGTGGTGTGAAATGTGGTTGGGGTACGACCGACAACCCGTCGGGGCGAATTTCGCACTGGGGTACTCAAAATTTGAAGAATTTAAGACGTTTCCATGAGTTTTGAAGGTATGGATAAGTTCTAAAAATCCGGTTCTCCTTATCTGGGCCATTAACTCCATACGGTCCAAGAAAGCTGGCACACTACCTTTAAGGAGTATATAAGTGAAATTTGCAATGTTCTTAGAACACGTTTTGGAATTGATTAGGTACAAATTCAACAAGAAGCAATGGTTCTTTCCAAATCTCAATGACTGCGAAAGCACTGAAGTTATTGTGTATGTAGGTATTAGCGAAAGTGGCCATTTACTCGGCAAAAAAGCAAGAAACAAAACCCTCAGTGCAACATTTTTTAATGAATTGAAATTAGAGTTCGAGAAAGAACGTCTTCTTGCGGGAAGACGTAATAAGTTGACTGAATTTGGAGAAAAGTGGGAAAGGCTCAGAATACTACCAACACTTGATAGTGGTCACCTTATCTCGATATAGATTAACAACTCCTCACATTCATGCTCGGTACAGGCACAGATATACATATAACGGACACAGATAAATATACGCAAAACACACACACACCGTTCAAACGAGCCGAACATTAGCCCCTCATCCTTGTCCCACCTTGTCCCTCTCTTTCTCTTTCTTCGCCCTCCGCTGCTGCCGCGGCTGCTGCCTCTGCTGCTGCTGCTGCTGCTGTCGCCGCCGCCGCCGCCGCCGCCGCCGCTGCTGCTGCTTGGTCCGTCCGCTGCAGCGGCTGCGATGGCGGCGTTGTGCCTTTTTTGTGCTCTTTTTGGACAATCTTTAGCTGCGTTGGCTCGTGCGAGATTGGCCGTTCTTTGTACGCGGGGTTGAGAGGGTGAGGCGCAGCCTGTGTGCGACGCGACGGGTGTGGTGGATGTGAAGTTGATGACTTGACGTCAGCTGTGTCCGTTGTGTTGTGATTTGTGTTGTGGGTTACCGGAAGATGCGTACAAGCAGGGTTCGGTCTGCTCATATTATATGCAAGAATATGTCAATAAAAAAGAAGAAAAACTTTTTTGAAGGTGGGAGGGTCCCTTAACCCGCGAGTTGCTGGGGGGGGGGGGGCGTTAAGCGCCCCCACTTTTTTCGCCGGGCCATAGCATAAAAACGGCGCGCCGCAGGCGCGCCAAATTTTGGGTACCTGTAGGGAATTTATTGAAGTGTATTGTGACAAAGTTTCAAAAAAATCGGTCGGAAATTTTTTGAGATATCGAGGTTTTAGTGACGTCATGATTTCTTAGTTTTCGACCAAAAACGGCATATGTTCAAAAATTCATATAAAATCACAGAACAAACATACAGACATGCCGTAAACGCCATTAGACTGCCAATACCATGAACAATCAAATGGCTATCTTCGATTATTGATTATCGTTCCGCATTTTCCAAAATCTTGAACTGAATCTTGGCAATTTCTCGTGACTTCTTCAGACCATGATACATGCATTTCTTAAATCGAACTTTTTGAGCCAAACACGTACACATATGATAAAATGAATGTCACCATCGTGTTCTACGCCCCAAATTACCCATAAAACATGTGTCACAGGCTGCGAATATCAGTTTTGGTTTTCGGGGATATGTGCCTACCCGGTTGACCTGACATTGGCCCTGACCTATGCTTGACTGACCCCTAGGTACAGTATGTCTAAAAAGTATGTCCCCTGGTTTGGCTCTCCCACAGGAGGCGAATCGGTAACTTGGCTGAATCCCAGTTGCGGCACCCGGCCGCCAGGGTCGCTGCCGCGCGAGCGGCCTTGACCGCTCGCATGTCATTGGCAGTTCGGTCCCTCCCCATCTATACCGAGGTGGGGAGGGGAGAAGAGGGGAAGAGAGGGGAGGGAGCGGCTTTCGCTCGGCACTTGGCGATACCTGGCCTGGCTGACCCCGCGCTCCCTCGCTGACCTTTGTCCTGCCCTCAGGCGAAGACCGACTTCCTGGCCTGTAGCGGCCCAGCGGAAAACCGAGCTCGCGGGGCGCGACTCCATTGGCCCAATCTTATAAATGGAATGCTGTCGTATTCACGGCATTAGATAATATTAATAGTGATACCAGCAGTGGATGTGGTAAAATACAGTCCAAAATAAACGAAAGCACACGATTCGTGCATAATGCGCCCTCCCATTCAAATAAGCCCGCCCACTTCGATAGATGGTGTAGTTTCTTAGGGCGTAAAAGATGCAAAACACTACCGATTTTTTTTAGCTCGGCCACTGGGACCGACAATATACAATTGACTGAAATGCATGAAAACCATTTTGCATTTAGGTAATAGCCGTTTTCTGCACCCAAACTTTAGCCAGTGACACCCTGTCCATTCTAAAGCGTTTATAAGATTGGTCCCAGCACCCGATTTTATATGAGTAAGTCGTTTAAAAAGCATCTTATTTCTAACGAATTTATTATTATGGCCACTTTTACAGGACGTCTATAGAGCTTTGACTTTCACATTTCTTCCTCGTTCAGGAGAAACGTTTTAACCCTCACCGGACATTCAGGTTTTCTGAATACCGAGGGGACGTTGGGGGTTGGAAGTGAGGAACCAACCCCCTTCGCCACCCGTGCATCGCAAGACGCATCTACCACACACAAGTTCATGATCCCCACGAACCCACATCAGCGTCCGTTCGCTTGGTGTGTGACCCCTTGACCTTTGGCCGCGACAACTGCCAGCTTGCCGGAGCACCCCTCCCTACACGCGCTGCCCCGTCCGCTACCCTCCCTCCCCCCCCCCCGGGTCGTGTCACGAAGGTTCGGGCTTACGCTACTACCGGCCGCTGCGCAGCTGTCACCTAGCGCTTGGGAATGTATGGTCTGGTGCGGATTCAGCCAACTACCGGCTCGCGACACCAGCGCCACGTAGTGGCGACGGTACATTCTTTTTAGACACACTGTACATGGAGCTGACACTCTTGTAGGCCTTATATGATGGATTGTGCACCGTTTTGACAGAGTTTATGACGAGAGGCGCCCAATGCGAAGTCTTGAAGTCCATGCTACTGAAAGCCCGATTTCAGGTATTTGACCTGACCTTGACCCGACCTGTGACCTCAAAATTCAACTTTAAAGTACTCATCTGAAGCGTCTCGTCGCGTTCTTTCGTTTGCCGCCTCGTGCGTTTCGCTGCGCCTATTGGTTCTCGAGTTACCGGCTGGGGGTGTTTAACGCCCCCCCCCCCCCCCCAGCAAACGGTGGGTGGCGAAATACCCCAGCAACTGCCGGGTTAACTTTTTTGAAGGTGGGAGAGTCCCTTTAAGTCCTCTCATGCAAAAAAGGATGTAGCTTAATAACTGAGCTCTTGAGAGCGATAGCCGTAGTTCGATGCTTTGCATCGAAATCGGCCAAATGTGACGTCATTCTGACGTATTTCCGGCCGACCTCTGGTAGCTACGAAATTAGGTATTATTTGTGTAATGTAACCTTATGTAACCTGGGGTCGAAAATTACACATATGCTGCGAAATCGATTAAACAGCTAGACCAAGTTTCGCGGCATTGCACGCCGCGGTTTTCTTTGTACACACAGAAAAAAAAACTGAGAGGTGTCGCCAAAAACGCCCCCCCCCCCCCACCCACCCAAGGTTACCCAGCCCAACACCGTCTGTCGAGTCACTCCGCGTCAGACCAGCATCGTCTGCAGAGTCACTCCAAAACCCAGACCAATACCATCTGTCGAGCCACTATAGGTACATTAGCCATTTTCACGACGGGCTATCCGGCGAATGCACCTGATTTGACCAAATCTGCACCTAATTTCTTTTACAGCAAATATCTTCATTTTATGAATTTATTTTAGTGTTCTAATCGATGATGCTCTCTGATAATATGACAAAGCAGGCATATAAGCAATTAGTGCAACCCTAGCTGATAGCCGCTAAGAGACACACTGAACCTGATTTGACTAACTCTGCACCTAATCTGTAACCAAATGTGTACCAGATGGCCGTCGTGAAAACGGCTAAAACCTACCCAGACCAGCACCGTCTGTCGGTCACTCCATTAGCCAGACATTATCAGTGTCACGTGGCGTCAATCCACCCGATCTCGGTGTCATCGGTATCACCGCCTCTGCACAGTCTGCAGGGAATCGGTGTGAGTCGAACGGTGCCACCTCCGTACCGAGCGGTCCAAACGTTTGGGCTCTAGAGGCCAAAATGTTTGACTCTTTTAGTATCCTGGCTTGAACTCCCATCCATCCCACAGATGGACAGAAACTGACTCGCATGTTAACGAGCCGACTTTTACACGACTTCCGAATGTAAATTTCTGGTTGAAAAAGCATTTACTCTCTAACGCATACTTTCAAACCTTCATTTCAAATTCTCGTCTATATTTATTCATGTCCCAGCAGCGTCGAACCCACTCTGGCCCACTGTCGAGCCCAGTGCCGGCGCGGCGGCCTGCCTGTCACCTGCATGACTTGCACTACACACTGGTGCGGTGTTCCGCCCGGACAGTTCACCGTCCGCCGCGCCGCGCCGTGCCGCGCCGGGCCTAGTCGTCCCGCTTTTTGTAAGAGACCGCGGCCATGATGCTGCAGTAATGTAACGGTCCCGCGCGAGCCGCTCCGGCACTGCAGTGTGCCGCAGGCCGCCGGACTGCGAGGTGGTCTGCGAGACACGAGTTGATTCTTTGCAGGACGAAGTGCACCATACCGACTACCGAGGAACGAAGTGATTCAATGGGGACATACAGGGACGGAGTGGCGTGACGTCCAATGCATGTTCGGCGGCCAGGCGGCCAGTGTCAGAAGTCGTAGTTCAGGTCGGCGCAACGGTCGCGGGACGTTCTCGGTGACATCGCATGGGAGCCACAGCCAGCGAGGAGCTCCCGCACACCGCACGGCCGGGTCAATAATGACAAAACGGGCCGTCACACAGGGTGTTGCGATGACAGCCCTGATTGTGCCAGTCAGGTGAGACGGTGACTGCAACGACCGCGAGCCGCATCACCTGCTGACTGATGTGGCGGCGTAGGTAATCACTAATCTTTCATACGTCCTCGCCATCCTCAGGACAAGCCCATCCATGTCCCCACTCGAGCGTGTCACTTTCCGAGCTGATGGTCACCCCATACCAGACCGTCCATCGGTGGTTGAGGTCGGGTTCACACCAGGGCCTCGTCTCATAAAGTGAGTCCGTAACTTACGCCGGTTTTTGGTCTTGTATTGCAAGTGCATGTGAAGCGATAAATTCATTTCCCCTTCTCCCTTCTGTTCTGGCTTGCAAGATAAATAAATTCAACGGCTCAAACTAACGTCATCGCCTCACATGCACTTGCAATACAAGATCAAAAACCGTCGAAAGTTACGGACTCGCTTCATGAAACGAGGACCCGTTTGCCATAGTTCTCTAAAACACGGAAAAACACTTCTTGCCAGGCTACCAACTATGTTTACAATTTTGTATATCATTTTGCTCCATAGCCGTTTTGATTTTTAATAAGCGTTCTTGTCAATGCATTGCTTGGTTATCGTACACGTCTTCTACCAATTTTAATGCTGTTTACCCCACTAATAGCTGAGCTGGAATATTATTGTCTCTCCCCCCCCCGCGAGACAACATCTGACCTACAATACAGTACACGAGACAACAATAGACCTACAGCGCCGCAGAAAAGCGCATTCGATAGCCCTTTTACAGACCTTTCTGGATAATGTTCTCAGATATGACCTCAGGTCAACGATTTAGCTTCCACAGGGCAAAAACTGTTAAAATAGCGGTTTTCACAAAAAAATGTTTTTCGGCAATAACTTTTTACTTGAGAGAGCCACGGCATTACTTTTGGCAGCATCGTGTTCCTCTCGTCAAGACGCGTCGAATTAATTATTTGTTGCTCTTGAAAGGTCATTTTGAAAATTTGACCTCAGGTCACGGTCATGAGTGACCTGACAGGAAAGGGTCATGCTGCATATCAGTCGATCCGTATTGTCAATTAAACACATCTGACGTGTTTTCACCACTCTAGCACGTCTCTATCAAAAGTTATGGCCAAAAAACTGCTAGTGACCGTTCGTGACCTGAGATGACCTTAGGGGCTTACAGAGGGGTCCAGGGGCGCAGCCAAGGGGAGGGCACACTGGGCTTTAGCCCCCCCCCCCAAATCTAGCAGGCGCCCTCATCCAGGGCGCCGAAGGCGCCCTGGATGGCGCCTTCCACGATCATTTCGGGGCGCCCGAAGGCACCTTTCTAATGTCCAGCACTCTAGGCGCCCTCGACGGTTAGCCATTGCGGTACACCATGCGGCACTGGCGCCCAGGTTTACAATTTTATATCTCTTTGTGGGTGAAGATGCACCCACAATCCTGAACTGCCAGACATCCACCCCCAATCTCCTGACCATCTAGCGCCCTCATCATCTTCAGCGCCCTTCTGTCTGTTCGGCGCCCTTCTGATCTGTCGGCGCCCTTCTCGCCATTCAGCGCTCTTATGGCCTGCGGCGGCGCCCTTTTCACATTCGGCGCCCTCTGGGCTGACCAGTCGGCGCCTTCATGGTCCTTACCACACAGCATCCTCCTGATCTTTCTGCGCCCTCCACACTTGCCGGCGCCCTCCTGACCTGTCAGCGCCCTCCTTATCGTATTATAACGCCCTCCTCACCGTACAGCGCCCTCCTGACCTGTCGCCGGCCTCCTCACTGTATAGCGGCCTCCTAACCATACAACGCCCTCCAGACCGGCGCCCTCTGCGTTTAGCGCCCTCCTGACAAGTCGGTGCCCTTTTCACCGTAGAGGGCCCTCCTGAGCTGTAGGCGGCCTCCTGACCGTACATCGCCTTCCTCACCTGTCCGCGCCCTCCTCTTTAAGCAGTGCCCTCTTGACTTATCAGCGCCCTCTTCACTCGTATAGTGTCCTCCTCATCGTATAGCATCATCCTCACCATACGGCGCCCTCCTGACCTGCCGGCGCTCTCCCCACTATACAGCGCCCTGCAGACTTGTCGGTGCCCTCTTCACGTAGCGCCCTCCAGATCTGTCGCAGCCCTCATCACCGTGCAGTGCCCTCCTCACCTGTCGGCGCCCTCCTCGCCTGTCGGCGATATCTTCGCGTTCAGCGCCCTCCTGACCAGTCAGCGCCCTCCGCAATGTATAGCGTCCTCATCACCATACAGCGCCTTCCTGACCTGCTGACGCTCTCCTCACCATACATCGTCCTCCTGACCTGTCGGCGCCCTTTTCACCGTAAAGCGCCCTCCTGATCGGCGCCCTCCTCACATTACAGTGTCCTCCTCACCGATTATCGTTCTTCTCATCATACACTCCGGACCAGTCAGCGCCCTCTTCACGTTATCTATGTTGGTTACTGACCGTGGTAAGTTCTGATCACTATGTTATGCGTTTAGTTGTGTATTAGGTATGGTTTTCCATGATCCGTCATATTTTGTGAATTGCCGTAGAAGCTTGAGCTTCACAGAAGGTGAGCTTGAGAGCAAACCAAGCTCAGGTTTTGCTTAAAATTTTGGCTTCGCATAATAACAAATGTTACCTCGCACGTAAAATATCCAGTTTTTTACAACTATTTACAATTAGAAAAGCGTTAGGCGCCAACGATTTAGGCGATAACTAGAAATAGAGCAATTTCCGGAAAATAAAGGCATGACAACGTTTCCAACGCCTTATTTTGGAGCTTACTGCATCTAGTTCGGCAAACATCCATCGAGCACGTCAGTGCCACTGGCCCGACCGGCAAACTATTCACTCATCTTATTCACTCTCATTCAACTCATTCACTTATCACTTTCGTCCTTTTTGGGTCGGTCGTAAGCCAGACGACGCTTGACACCAGAATTTGAGACCTAAATTGGAACCGAAGGACGGAGGAACTGAGCCATGGGGTCGAAAAATACACCAGTAATGCAGACATTCGCAGCCCGTTTGTTTGCCTGCAAGGCTGCAAGAATGCCGAGCCTCGCTTCCGTTTGAAATGCGCAAAATGTAAAGGCAGTTTTCATCTGGAATAGGGAATAGGTCAAAAACGCCCCCCCCCCCCTTAAGCGCGAAGCCTTCTGACCAGGGGCGGATCCAGGAAAACTCCAAGGGGAGGGTCATGAATCGAAGTGGTGCCCCTACCTATAGGTACCCAAAATTAAAAACTCAACGGATTTCGTCCACTTCATTTTGGTGGTGCCCCCATTTTCAGGTTTTTTTATTTTTATTTTTAGTCAGTATCTTAACTCTTAGCCACAACCACATTTACCAATTGTAAGCAAGTATATATGAATGTGCTATGTGTATATATGTTGTGGACGCTGAGTAGTGAGTACTTACCAGGATCGTTATCAGGTAAGCGAATCGTTGTCAGTCCGACGAACTTGACCCTGGCGTCTAAAGGGTCTGTCCTTGACACTTCAGGCTTGTCAGGGGCACCAAAGTCCTTCCAGGGACACCACAAACCTGTCAGGGGCACCTACGGCCTTGAAGGGGCGCCAAAGGCCCGCCAGGGGCACCACAGGCCTGCCAGGAAGCAGGGGCACCACAGGTCTAGCAAGTATACACGACAGGCTTGTCAGGGGCACAACGGGCCTGTTGGGCCCATGAGCACCCCTAGGGGCAGAGGCACCACAGTCCTTCCAGGGGCACCGCAGGCCTGTGAGGGGCACCAGCGGCCTAGCAGGGGCACCAGTCAACACAGGCCTGCCAGGGGCACCACAGACCTGCCAGGGGCACCAGAGGCCTGCCAGGGGCACCACAGGCCTAGCAAGGGCACCACGGGCCTGTCATGGGCACCTCAGGCCTGTCAGGGCCCAGGGACACCACAGTCCTTCCAGGGGCACCACAAGCCTGTCAGGAGCACCAGAGGCTTAGCAAGGGCACCACAGGCCTGCCAGGGGCACTACAGGCCTAGCAAGGGCACCACTGGTCTATCAGGGGCACCACGAGCCTATCATAGCCAGGCATCTCAGGCTTGTCAAGGCCCAGGGGCACCACAGGTCTGTGAGGGGCACCAGCGACCTAGCAGGGGCACCAGTCAACACAGGTCTGCCAGGGGCGCCACAGACCTGCCAGGGGCACCACAGACCTGCCAGGGGCACCACAGACCTGCCAGGGGCACCAGAGGTCTGCCAGGGGCACCACCGGCCTCGCAGGGGCACCTTGGGCCTGTCAGGGGCACCACAGGCCTGCCAGGAGCACCACAGGCCTGTCAGGGGCACCACGAGCCTGTCATGACCGGGCACCTCAGGCTTGTCAGGGCCCAGGGGCACCACAGTCCTTCCAGGGGCATTACAAGCCTGTCAGGGGCACCAGAGGCCTAGCAAGGGCACCACAGGCCTGCCATGGACACCACAGGCCTGCCAGGGGCACCAACGGCCTTGCAGGGGCGCCTCAGGCCTGTCAGGGGCACCACGTGCCTGCCGGGGACACTTCAGGCTTGTCAGGGGCGTTACAGTCCTGTCAGGGCCCAGGGGCACCAGGCCCGTGGTGTCCCTGCTAGGCCTGTGGTGCCCCTGGCGGTCCTGTGGTGCCCCTGTCAGGACTGTGATACCCCTGATAGGCCGGTGGTGCCCCTGGCAGGTCTTTGGGCCCCCGGGCCTCAAGGGGGGGGGGCCATGACCCATGTGCCCCCCCCCCTTGGATCCGCCACTGCTTCTGACACTCAAACCAACACCGATTACTCAAACCTTTGGGCACCATCATGTAGCTCATTCTTTTTTTTTTTACTACGCTTTGAGACTAAGAAAAGACACCTGCGTGTGGTATTTAACCCCCAAAAAAGGTTTCCGCATACCCTTACAAAAGGGCGTTTTGCCCCACACCCTGGGTAATACGTCCACACCCATGTGCAAAGCGCCCCCATCCCATCTATCAACAGAACATGATGAACATGGCAGAACTTGACGTCATTCTGACGTCATTTGTGGTCAACCTATCATAGCCTTTGGAATAAAATTTTGTTGCAATGTGTAAAATGGATGTCCGGAGGAGTCCTCAAAGTTTGGTGACGATATCTGCAGTCGTTTAGGATATGTCAGCAAAAAAGCTCAGGGATAGGCCTTTTCGGGCCCGACCTAGGTACAGGGCGCTACCCTGCACTCTCACCACCGTGCAAAACGCCCCCTTACAGAAAACTGGGGGCGTCTTGCCCCATGCATCGAGTAGGCGTCTTTCCCCATCCACTCCATTTCCGGTCAACAAAATATTGACAAAAAACGCGCCACTAACGCCGCAGCATAGTAAATTCAACAGAATGACAATAAAACGCAGTTTGAGTGATGTGCACAATAGCAAGCTTTTGTGATATAAAGAGGGTATCAAAATATTAGGAATCTTCTGTAAAAACAACAAAAACAACACCCAAAACCAACATCAGCACCTACCCACGCTGCTCCTCAAGACGCAGAACCGGAAATACCTAGAGACCTACGTAAACAAGCAGCTGACTGTTCTGAAAGACAGGATAAAACACCTATTCGTCGATAAGAAATACGATTATTTAGGGGAGGCGTTTAACCCAGGGGTGCGTTTTCCCCACAGTTACCATACCTAGAATAAACCGTAGTTTGAGTGGAATAAGGTCGCGTGACCATGTAAGGGAAATACGAGAGTGTACATTTTGTCGTCCTTGCTCGGCATTGATAGCGTCCTCCAGAGCCGAAATTGGCGCCCTCCTGACCCAAAATTGGCGCCCTCACCAATTCTAGCCCCCCCCCGAAATTTTTTCCTGGCTGCGCCCGTAGGAGGGGTCACAGGTTTTTCCGATTCAATGTGTCATGTTTACCTCTGAACCAATGTTGGGAGCGTTTTGAACGACATTTGTCCAAAAGAGGCGCATTTCAATTCTCTCCCATTGACTTCTAATGAAGAGGTCGCAAAATTGACCTGACCTTAGGTCACAGATATAAAAAATCAGAGATATAAATTGTATACATAGGGGAAGACGGAGGAACACCGACCCCATTAACCTTTTAGGGTCTAGTCACGTAAACTTTGGCCAAATGATCAATCTCTCTGTTTCATTGGATTGTCGCATCAATTTTACACACATATCAACCAATTGTTTTCTTGAAGTTTCGTTCATAATTGCATTATTCCCCTAGTAAATGTCTACATTTTTCGGGGTAACACCGACCGCTGGGTAACACCGCCGGAGCTAAGCAGGCAACGAAATTTGCAGATTGCTGGACTATTAAGTTGTTCTTCTTATCGTAAATTTCAAGGCGTTTTAGTATATTTATAAAATGCAGTGGAAACGATTTTATTATATCTCCGTTACAATGTAGTACCTACTTATTTATGTAACTAGACGAATTAAAGTCCCAAAATTTCATTTTTTCGAAATTTTTTCATTATCTTCTAAAAAGAAAAATAGCAGCAACGTTCTTTCTTTATTGGAAATACGCCACTCCTGGGGTAGATGTCACAATGTGCTATTAAATACCAAGTTTCCCAAGTGGGCGGTGTTACCCAAGTGTCCATTTTTCTTTAAAAAAAAATCCTTCAATATGGCAGCACGACAAAAATTTCGCTCCAGCAGGAGCTCGATATGCTTGGATGAGTCCTAATAATGGCAAAAAGTACTACTTCAGGACTAATGTCTGTCAAATAAGATACCTAAATTTTCTTCTGCATATTCTGCTAGAAAAATAAAGCAAATTTGACCTCTGCTGATCTGACCTGTGACTTGGCAAAACTATAATAATTCAAATATTTTTTGACGATCCTGAAAACATCGCTTCCCGCTAGTCGTCGCGACGCAAGAGGTGCGCCAGATTGTCTACATTTGATAACGGCGGAATGCATTTCACGACGGTTGACGTCTAACGTGGTTTGTCCCGTCCCCGTCAGGTACCGACGGCTGGCCGCGCTGTGCTGTTGGGTGACGGTGATGCTGCTGCTGCTGGCCGGTCGAACTCGTCACCCGGCGCCGGCACCACCCGGGCCGACGGCTGCTGCGCCGGGACGCTGCGCTCGCCTGCTGCGCCTCTCCACGTGTCGCCACCGCTGGGAGTCAGGGCCGCCGCCGGCGGAGGCTTGTCAGGCTCAGCCGCTCAGCGCCCAACAGGTGCGCGGCTGCGTCCAGCCGCCGCCCGGCCAGCCCGCGCCGCGCATAGTCTTTGTCGGCGACTCGCGGATCCGGAAAATCTTCCACGGTGTGCTCGATCAACTGGGCCTGCCCCTGAGCAATCGGACCGAGCCGATTGCGGTCGGACATGACCCGCACTTTATCAGCCTGAACATGACGACGGCGCCGCCCTACTGTCAGGAGGTGTTCAAAATTACCATCCGGCCGCAGACCGAGCACACAGACCGCAAAATGTTCTTCTGCAGCCAGAGCGGCGGCGGCGACTGGCTGCGGCTCGAGTACTTTTGGCGGCCGTACCTGTCGCGCTCGTACCTGGCCACCGTGTCGGAGCTGGCCGACCGGTGCGACCGGCGGCCGGAGCGCTGTCCGCGCCTGGTGGTGCTCGACAGCGGCCTCTGGTACGCGCTGCGCTTCTCGCTGACCGAGTGGGCGCCGGCGGCCGACTGGGTGGCCCGCTACCGGCAGCAGCTGGCCGCGCTGCTGCCGCACCTGCGCCGACTGGCCGCAGCCTCCCACGTCCTCTGGAAGCTGGACGAGCCTCAGTTCCGGCAGGAGACCCAGGGCGGCAAGCCGGGCATCCTGATGGGCACTCTGACAGCCATCCAGGCTGCGGTGTACAGCCAGACGGCCGGCATCGGCAACCTCACCGTGTGGAGTGCCATGCTGCCCGACACCATCTTCTACCACCGGAACGTGTGCTGGACCGGCCGGCAGCGGGCCGGCTTCCAGCAGACGCCGCTGTTCAAACAGTGCGGCGACATGCACCACGTGGGCAGCCAGCTGATCGATCGGCACGTGACCCAGCTGGTCAACTGGCTGTGCCGCCACTCGGGGGAGCTCCCGCCCGGCCATTGCTGCCGATCCGATTCGTAATGCAGCCGCCCATCCGGCTGTGCATCGGTGACATGTCTTTTCCCCAATATTCATGGAGCAAGGTCAGGTGAGCACACTGGTATGTGCTGTGTCATAGACCACTATATATCTATATAGATATATAGTGGTCTATGGCTGTGTGCGTGCGTTATATACCTACGTGAGCACTGCGCACGTGCAGGGTTCCAAGAGCGGCTCGGCCGATTACGCTCATACCTTTTTGGGACACCGTTGGGGACCAGTTAGAAGAGGCTAGTTCGAATCCAGTTTGCACGTGTCACGTGTGCACGTGCAAGGGGCCGCTTCTATAGCATAAGAAAGGCTGTGAGAATTGCAGTCAAATTTAGAACAAAATTATGGGTCGGCAAAAAGAGTAGCTCCGCACAAGTCAGCAAAGGGTTTCATTTCGTTCTTTCTTTCGCGCAATGTTCACTGTTGTGTTCGTTTGCTATGTGCCCCAAATGACGTCTCGCTAGTAGGCAGGGCAGTTATACCTAATTTCGGCTGACATCTCAAACAGCGATTCAGAAAGCGACTTAGAACCAGCGACAGAAAAACGGCGACTGCGACTGCGACTGCGTTTACCTCTGGTACAGCGACTTACACGAGACACTTGAACGATTATTTAAAACGACGATCCGTGTTAGAGCGACTTCAGAGAAACAGCGACTGTTCTAGGTTAATCACGATTGCAAAAGCAAAATCGACGATATCTTGCGATGTATACGCCTATCTGATGGTTTTAGTATATTTTTATGTGAAATGCACTTGTTACGCGTTATCATTTACTAAAAGCAACTGTTAGGAGTCAATTCGATGATATCGTATATTGATAGAGACAAGTAGAAAAACACGGAACAAATAGTGCATGGACGCGTTTCGATTATTAACCCGCGCCCCGTTGGGCTCTGCCGAGCAACGCGCCCGGTTGGGGGGGGGCCATTTTGCCCCCCCCCCCTAAGATCTCGAGAACCACGCAACATAGCGACAAGCGGTAAACGGCGTTGGATAGCCCCAACGGGGAACTACCTTGTGACCCAATTTTATTGACCTAGGTCAAACTGATGACGTCACAGGTCAGGTCAAAGGTCCAATTTTCACCGTTTACAGGCACTTCAAGAAATGCGTTGTAAAATCGAGTAAAATGCATTTCATTGAAAATCATCGATGGGGAAATGTTCTTCAAACACATATTTTGCTATTTGAGGTCACTGATACCAGGTCAGGTCACAGAGGTCAGGTCACGGGGGGTCACAATATGAAAGTGTCGTGTGATACATGTTTTATGGTCCATTTTACATGACAAATGCGATTATATGGGTCAGGCAGCCTTTGGGGCCAGCTTAGATCACGTTTTGGTCAAGGTCAGGTCAAGGTCAGGTCAAGGTCAGGTCAAATTAGGTCAAATTTCAAAGTTAATATTTTGCATAAAATGGGTATCGAATCGATGCAACTCGTCACGGGGAGTTCAATGGTGGTCTTTGTTTTGCCGTACGTGATCTAGAATTGCTAAAAATTGAGTTCAAAAGTTTGACGTCATCATTTTTGAACAGTTTTTTCGCTATAACTTGGCCAAAAAACGAGATATCGATCTGAAATTTGGTATGTATATAGAAGAGCGCTGGGACTATCACATTTATTCCGTTTTTTTTTTCGAAATTCGGAAAAATTTTGGATTTTTTCAAAGTTAAAAAAATCAATTTTTTGATTTTTTTTGGTCAAAAACCAAAAATTTTGAAAATCCGAGATAGCAGTTTTGTAGCGCCGCTTTTTGTCTACTAGACCATATAAAGAACTTTGAAATTGCTTGATAACTGTAGATTTGGTGAGCGTTTCAAGATTGCATGTTTTTTGCTCATTTTTGCTCGAACATGACCTCAGTTTGACCTCAATAACTCCTGACCTAAGGTGACCTAAGACTTGAAATTTGGTGTGAAGGTGTCAAATTGATGCCCGGGAAGGTACTTAAAATTTGGCGGCGCTGCGCGCCGCCGTTTTCTTGCTATTCAGGAAAAACCACGGGGGGGCCAAAATGGCCCCCCCAACGGGGCGAGGGTTAAATCTTCATCAGCATGACATAATCACAGAGAAAACAAATGTGGTCCATATCACTTATGGAGTGTGCCTATTGAATTCTATGAATAAAATGACCCATAAAACATGCGTCGTACATGCCCTTTTCTATATTTCATTTTTGGTGACCTGACCTGACCTTGACCTTGACCTTTGCATGATATTGTATGCAACGAATATTGTCTTGGTAGCCTAAGAACACGTTTTGGGCAATCAGTCTCAGTCCATTCTTCAGCAACTATGGTGCAAGGCCGATACTGTAGAAACTTGCATTTTGTACCCTTGCCCTGACCTTGACCTCACCTCTTACCTACTTAAGCAAAAAATTTGTCTCTTAAGATCCGCCTTGTTGAGAGCTTTCGATCGCCGTTTTTCCGTCTTTCTACGACCATCGTTCGGAAGTTAGACAAGGGGGGGGGGTCAGAATCTGCCCCCAGTGTTCCATTTTTTTCATACTTTTTGGTGGCAAATCACACCTAATGGGGAAAATATGTTCATCCCTAAAATATGAATTGCCGAGTCAACTTCATCTCTGAAAAGTGTTTCATGTATTCCCAACAGCCAATTCACATGTCACTTGACAGTTGATGCACCCACATCCTTTTGCTCCACACCCTGTCAAGATCCTGACATGAAATCCTGGTTTATCAGTTCGCATGAAAATTGGCATTATACCATTTTGCAAAAATACTTCAGTTATTTACTTTCTTTTTTCTCATCCTAGAATTTCTTTTTTCTTTATTGGCACACCCAACCAATATCCAATTTTAGAACACTGCTGCCCCCCCCCCCCCCCAGCAGGGCGCTTATGGCTGAATAGCCCAGCGGGGCGCAGGTTAATTTCTTAAAGCCCTTGTCGGGCTTCATCGGACATGCAGATGCTCTCAAAAATAAGAGCTACATAGTGCACATGCTACTTTTAGCTTGACCTTTGAGTTAGCGTAAAGATATACCCCGCAAGAAAAGGACAATTTTACCTTTTCCAATCGCGATTAGCCTGCTCCCCTGAAGTCGCTCTATTGTGGATCGACGTTTTAAATAACCGCTCAACCGCGAGTGCCTGTTAGAGAGGTCGCTAAAAATGCGGTCGCTGTTTTGAGTGAGTCGCTGTTTTTCTGCCGCTGTTTTCTGAATTGCTATTTGACACGACACGCACATCACTTAGGTATATATTAGTGTGAAGTTATATTTAAAAGTAGATGTCAAGATAAGATTTAGCCGTCTTTTATTGCATAAAATTTGACTTCAAACTGGATGAATATCCAAATCTACATATTATTAACCCGCGCACCGACGGGGGGGGCGGATATCCGCCCCCCCCCTGAGGTTTTTCGCGAATAGCGGGAAAACCGCAGCGCGTAGCGCCGCGAAATTTGGTATGACTATAACCTCATCAATTTTACACATGGTGTGCAAGTTTGAACTTCCTACCTTTTAAGGTCAGGTCACCAGGTCACTTTGAATGACCCAACCTCAAATCACTTTTTTGCAAATTTGTCACCGTGCCACAGCTAGAGTAGATGTTGGAGGCCTTTGAAAGTCGCAGGATATTATAAGGTCATTAGTAGCTACAATTTGTATATCTCGGAATTTTGATATCGGTGACCTAAGGTCAGGTCAATTTCGCGACCTCCCCATTATAAGTCAATGGGGGAAAAATCAACTCCCTGTTTTTACCACTAAAACGGGTCGGAATGGCCCCATATACTTAACATGACTTCATATACGATCAACCTTCACTACCTTGAGGTCTGTTTTGCTGTTGGGCAGCTGTGAGGTCATGTGACGTCATCAAAGGTCACCAAAGGTTTTTGGCCAATAACTCCGTACAGGAACAAGATACAGACGCGTGGATGGTCTCATTGTGTTCAGCTCGTCAAGACGCATCGAATGATATACATGATGACCTCGAGGTCACGTGACCTGAGGTCAACCTTTGACCTTGACCTTTCGAGGTCAACATATATATCATTCGATGCGGATTGACGAGAGGATCACGATGATGCCCTTAGTTTGTTCCTATCTTGACTAATTCGAAAGTTATTCGAGAAAAACTCTCCATATCTAGCGCCGCCATTTTGACTTTTTCGACCCCTGTGACGTCATCTTTGACCTGACCTGAAAATGACCTTAGTAAAAATTGTAGATCTTGGCCGTGCGTATCCGATGCCGTTTACCGCTTGTCGCTATCTTGCTTCGTTCTCGAGATCTCAGGGGGGGGCGGTCATCCGCCCCCCCCCCCGTCGCACGCTGGGCCGGCGGACCGGAAAAGCGCTAGAAATACCCCCAAGAGTGACTTTCCACAATATGAACAAAATATGTATCATTCGATCCCAAATTGATCAAAGCATACGATTCTGATGCCATTTTTGCCCTAAGGTCGAAATTGAGGTGGTCAGTTGTCACCAAACATAAGACTATTTAGACCCGCTAGTGGCCACCACATTTGCCGATTTTAATGCTAATCTTTTGTAGGGGGGGCTCGGGCCGGTCCTTTTGGCCTTTCGCAGCCTCCCCTCTGATTGTATTACTACTACTCTACTTGATGTCCGTGTTAGACTGAGACGTCTCCCAGCCTGTGCCCGACTGCCACTCGGGCCACGAACATCCCAATGTCTAATTCTACTATTTTACGTTAAGTTACAATGCATCGTGGTACCAGTGTGAATCACTCCGCCATTTTGAGGCACGCCGCGGTTGGTAGCGCGCCCTTATGGGTTTAGGAGTGAAGCTCCTGGCCATTGATGACTTTACTAATGTACCGATAAAGTTAGACTCCGCTCAATCACCGTTCTCCTCCGACTCATCCCGTTACCAAAAGCATCTGGTCAATTCAACGCCCCATTTATTGTTCATAATTTCGTGATGTGGTCATAACGGACTGCGCTAATTTGACGTAATCATTTTAATTTCCTACCGCGAACGCAATCTACCCTAACAATACCCTAACGCCACGCATGCTAACCTAACCCTCCACCCACTTGCTCCTACCTATCTATGGGATGTGCCTTGA